TTCTGCCGTAGCTCTTGACCAGCTTTTATGGACATCTGCTCCAGTTTCTAAGCTTTCTCACTACCGTTCGTGTCACTTTCTAAGTTTTTAATGTTAAAGGAATGTATTTATAAAAAGTGTCCAACATCTATCAGAAAATGAATATTATCACATAGTCACCCTTGAACAGTGAAAGATCTTCAAATTTTTCCAAAATAAGCAAACAAAACGGAGTGAACAAACAATGGAATAATTTTAGGGTAGAAACTAAAGATGGAAAATTTCAACCAAAGGGGAATTATTCATGAAATTCAAATGTCCGCAAATTAAAGCTTATAGTGGAAACTGTTTCACAATTTTAATTGCGTTGGCCACTCTCCCCAGTGTTCATAACGGGCTTCAGTACCTAAACTGGACGAGAAAAGCCAAGAACAAAATGTCAAGCCTAAAACCACATAAAGGCTCTTAATATCTTTGCTAATTTCTCCTCCCCTTCGGGCAGGGGTTGTGAAATGCAGGCGTCTCCTGCAGGCAGCTGGCACGCTCAGGTCCCTCGTCCCCAGCGAGTCATGGAGAAGTCACGAGAGCCGAGTGGGTTCTCCTTGCGTCGCTGAAATGATGCCCGTACCACGTTTTCCCCTGAACGCTGGCGCAGTAGCTGGCTCTTGCGTTTGAGGGTGCGTTGGCACCTCGGGCATGGCTGGCTCTGCTGGGGTCTGTCTCTGTGTCTGTCTCTGTGTGTGGAGTGAGGAGGCACATTCCCAGCCCCGCCCCCGGGTGGCAGTCCAGAGGGACCTGAGAGCCCCGGGGGTGCCCGTGCCAAGTTCCTGGCTCCCGGTGGAAAGTGCAGGTGATTGACAGATGAAGAGCCTCGCTGGGTTAGTAGGCCACCGACACCATCACTGCCACCTGCGGATCGTCCACCTGGGTGGCTTTCCACTTTGATCTTGACCTTTGCTCCAGGGAACGCATGGTATTAACCCTGAACTCTTACAGACTGATTGGACAGACTCTTAACTGCTTGGACATTTCTCCGATCAGGAGAGAGATGCTTGGGAAGAGCCAATAACAGGGCTTTATCTGACTGTGGAGTCGACCAAATGACTTACTTTGGCCAATGGCGGATTGACAGGCACTGTTGCCCTACAGGCTTAAATTGTGACTGTGTGATTGGGCTTCTTATCTGGGACTTGTACCGATCTGCAGAGAACCCTCCTGGCTTTGCACCTTAGCAGCCTCATGTAGGCTCACTCAACAGCTCAGCATCCGAGCAAGGCGCACGGGGGACCTGCCAGGACCCTCTCTGGTGGCCACGGCTCCGTTATTCCCGAGGCAACTCTCATAGCATAAGAGTGCAGGGGTGCAGGAGCTGTGTTGTCTGGCTGGATTCAGGGGAGCTGGGACGCGGCGGCCTGCACTTTCACTCCAAGGAAGAGTCCTGGCCAGGAAAGAAAGCCCCTTACCACAGCGCCTCCTACACCCACACAGCCGTCTCAGGTGACTGGGAGAGCTGGGAGGCATCGTCAGCTTTTCCACAACCAGGCAGGCCAGGTGGGATGCTCCGAGGCCACCCCCACCTCCCCTCGGAAGCCTTCAGCGTTTCCCTCTCCACCCTCTGCAGGCACGAGGGATGCTGTCTCTGCATCACGTTGACTCCAGGGACATGAGCTGCCCCCCTCTTCATGCCCAGCCTCGTAGATTAGCAGTGGAAAAGCTCCACGGGGAAACACGTCAGCTCCGTGACTGACAGCTGTCATACTCCTTGGGAAACACGTCAGCTCCGTGACCCTGACAGCTGTCATACTCCTTGGGAAACACGTCAGCTCCGTGACTGACAGCTGTCATACTCCTTGGGAAACACGTCAGCTCCGTGACCTGACAGCTGTCCTGTCCTTTATGGCGGAGCAGGTTTTACTTTCACCATCACAGTTTCAAGCAGGCACCAGAGTAGCGGCTCAAAGATTCCCAAAGATGTGGTATATGCACAAACAATGGAACGCTACTCAGCCATGGAAAAGAATGGAATCCCGTCTTTTGCAACAAAATGGATGCAGCTGAAGCCATGACACTAGTGGAATAAGTAGCCCCCAAAAGACAAACATCATATGTTTTCTCTGATGTGTGGCCGTTAACATAGAACAACAGACACCTTTGATGTGACTGTTGTGTTCAGCTCTTGTTTATACCCCGAGGAGCTGTGGTCCTCCTTATTTTTCCTTTTTCATTTTTCGTTATTTTTGTATGTTGCCTGCCATTGTTGAGATGGGAAAAACGTCCAACCGTCTACAAACAATTCCAGATTTTTAGTCTCACAGTCATAGCCAGACTCACATATACACACACAGAGACAGACACACAGACACAGACAGACACACACAGACACAGACACAGACACAGAAGCTTTGTGAGCACATGGAGACAGACGACAGGTCTCGATGAGAGGAAATCAGGGCACAAAAGAGAACAAAGTCAAAATAAGAATCATGAAACAGGGACGCTGCATGAAGTGGATCTGTTTCTGTAGTGGCTAAAAATTTGCTTCAGTTTTATGGTGATCAAAACCAGAAAGGGGAGTGGCTACTCATGTGTGTCTGTGTGTGTGTATCCGTGTGTGTCTGTGTCTGTGGGTGTCTGTGTCTGTGTCTGTGTCTGTGGATGTCTGTGTGTCTGTCTGTCTGTGGGTGTCTGTGTATGTCTGTGTCTGTGGGTGTCTGTGTCTGTGTCTGTGGGTGTCTGTGTGTCTGTCTGTCTGTCTGTGGGTGTCTGTGTGTGTCTGTGTCTGTGTCTGTCTGTGTATGTGTCTGTGTGTGTGTGTCTGTGTGTGTCTTTGTGTGTGTCTGTGTGTATCTGTGTCTGTGTGTGTCTGTGTGTGTGTCTGTGTCTGTGTCTGTTTGTGGGCATCTGTGTGTGTCTGTGTCTGTGGGTATCTGTCTGTCGTGGGTGTCTGTGTGTGTGTCTGTGTCTGTCTGTGGGTGTCTGTGTCTGTGGGTGTCTTTGTGTGTCTGTGTGTGTGTGTCTGTGTGTGCCTGAGTCTGTGTCTGTGTGTGTCTGCGTGTGTGTCTATGTCTGTGTGTGTCTGTGTGTGTCTGTGTCTGTGGGTGTCTGTGTCTGGGTGTGTCTGTGTGTGTCTGCGTGTGTCTGCGTGTGTGTCTATGTCTGTGTGTATCTGTGTGTGTCTGTCTCTGTGTGTGTGTGTGTGTGTCTGTGTATGTGTGTCTGTGTGTGTCTGTGTGTGTGTGTGTCTGTGTGTGTGTCTATGTCCGTGTGTGTCTGAGTCTGTGTCCGTGTGTGTCTGTGTCTGTGGGTGTCTGTGTCTGGGTGTCTGTGTGTGTCTGTGTGTGTGTGTGTGTCTGTGTGTGTGTCCGTGTGTGTCCGTGTGTGTCCGTGTGTGTCTG